CCACAAGAACATTCCTTCCTCGGCGGCCTGTTCCTCCCCTGGAATTATCTTCTCTTCTTTGGCTGGGTCCTTCTGTGCTTCCTAGGTGTGCCCACTGAGAACTCCCAGCCCCAGGGCACTGCTGGCAAAGTGGGATCCAGCTGCCCTAACCACCATGCCACCTGACTGGCCCTATCGAAGCTTATTCATCTCATTCAGCTTTGTGAATGAGCCTTATTCCCCCACGTGGTCCATCACCATTCAAGAGCTGGGCCAGTGTGTTCTGACCCGCCGTGTTAGGCTCTGGGACTAGTGGGTTCCTAGATGTGCCGCTTGGTCAAGTTACTTGACTGCTCTGCTTCGGGCTCTTTTTCAGTTATGGTTATTAATGGTATTTACCTGGTAGGGTTATTTTTAGGAAAATAATGTAAATAAATGTAAAGCTCTTAGGAAAATATCTTTTTTTGTTTTGTTTTGTTTCAATGGCTGGATTTTTATTTTTTTTTAATTTTGTAAAATGTTCTGATCACAGTGGTATTAGCTCCAGGATTCTTGCTTCCAAAGATGTGTTTTTACTTCTGACTGATGTCCTGAAGAAGTCCAAGGTCTTCTCAAGGGGAAGTTGCTGCCTCTGGTCATCCTGTGTCTTCCGGGGTATATGCAGGCTCTCTGGGTCCAGGCCTTTTGGGCCATTTGTATTTATGGAACAAATGGATTGGAGATGCAATTAGAAGAGCAAAGCACAGCACACCGAAAGGCTGGGGAAGGTCATGAGTAAAATGATCTTAGGCAGACAGAGTTTTTATGCTGTTCATGATTTAGCAGGATCAGGCGCTCTCTACTCTACTGCTCAACACGGGCTGCTCATGCTCGCGTTTTCGGAGGCTTCACTCCAGTGACAGATGCACACTGTCATCTTGGTTTTGTGGCTGCTGATAGTCATACTTCCTTGAAATGGAGTACATTTCCAGCTGCTGTCACAGACGAATTTTACTTACCGTATCGTAGAAGTTGGGCTCTGACAAAGTTTCCTCTGTAGGTGGCACGCTGAATATTCTCATGATTTTCCTTTTGTTCCTCTTGGTGTACATGAAGAGACCGGAGCTAACAAGGATCGCTATCAAGTAAACATTGGTGGCTTCATTGCGGGCTTCGTGAACCGCGTAATCAGTAGACCCGTCGTCACCCATCACCCCGTGGCCTCCAGTCATGCAGATCCGAGGGCTTGTGTGCTGGGCAGTGCACAGTCACTTAACGCTCACAGCCCTGCAGGTGCACTCACCGCTCCATCGCGGCTGCTCCGGCTCCTGCTGCTGCCGCTCCGCACGCCGCGCTCTTCTCTTAGGAAAATGTCTTGAACATTTGTAACGTTACCGACTCCAGCGAGAAAGCAGAGCACAGTGGCAAACCACGTGGGAGCTGGGTTTCAATCCCAGCTCCGTGTCCGTGACCGTGTACTGCTGGGCAAGTGCCTGGGCTTTCTCGTTGGAGAAGTAGGGGCGGGGGACCAGCAGATGGCATAATGGTTACGTCACTGGACTCCCACGTAGTCAACCACAGTTCGAGTCTCGGACCCAGTGGCTTAAACTCACGTCGGGCGCGTGTGCGTGCGTGCCCAAAATCCCAGGAAGAGAATAGAGGGGAAGGGATTGTGGCGTGGCCATCCCCCCTGGGGGTGATTTCTCGCTTTCCCTCTCTTAGTTTTTCTCTGTCTCTCTTCAACAAGTTCACATGCCCTATGAAAAAAAAAGAAAAAGAAAAAGAAAAACAAGAAAAGCCAGATCAGTAATTAAGAGTGTCCTCACTGTAGGTGAGGTGAGGACTACAGGGGTAATCTGTAAAAGCCTTGACCAGCAGCACATAGCAGATGCTGTCCAAGTGTCGGCTGCTGCTATTTGCAGAGTGCGTGAAGGTTTCAAGGGTAGGGCCTGGGGCTGATCCTGAAGGAGGACGGGGCCTTGGGAGGGTGTTTCTCGTCTTCCACCGATGCAGTGGGCAGGAGCTTCTTGCCCTGGGAATGATTTGGGGACTTCTGAGCTACTGGATAAAAGTGTGTTTATCCTGGGGCCTTCCTTTTTAAATTTTTTTCTTATTTATTTTTAAAGAATTATTTTATTGAACTTTATTTTATTTATGTATTTATTTATTTTAATTTGACCAGAGAGGGACAGAGAGAGAAAGTGAGAAAGCAAGCTGCCAGGTCCGAGACTTGAACTGAGGTTAACCATGTGGGAGTCCAGTGCCCTTAAACACCATGCCACTTGCTAGCCCCCCTGGGGCCTCTTATTTGGAATTTACTGTTAAGTTTACATGTAAGCTGGAGGCTGAGCCTAGAGGTGGGCCGAGTCCCAGCTCTGCCCCAGGTTGGCGGCTTGTTTCTGTGCACAGGGCCCAGTGCTAACCATGCCTTCCCCTCCTTGCCACAGTCTCGGGGGCCAGGCCTGGCACCCTCACCATACAGCATGGAAACTGAGGCGGGGGGGGACGGAGTGCACATCAGAGCTCGAGGGGTCCCCACTGCAGGCCCTGGCGGTGGGCCTGCGGGCCGCCTTCTGACAGTTGCTTTCCTCCCGACCTCACCCCAGAAGTCCGATCCGTGCACACTGGGGTAAGCAATGTAGGACTTTGACTCCCCCCAGGCTAATATCATTAGAAAGTGATCGAATTCCAGTAAGACTTGCTAAGAGTTTTGCTGTCCTCTCCTCGACTCTTCCTCACTTAAGTCAATTTGAGAAGTAAATGGTTTTTTTTTCTAGATCATCCTAATTTCTCCTTTGGCTTGAGAAATGACTAGCAGTGTGGTATAAACCTTGCTTGGTTTTAGCACCACCACTGGAGAAGGCCATAGTGGGAGCCCCGAGGGTTCTGGAATCTGCCTTTTGCCATTTTCCTGAGACTATAAGCAGTCGGGTGTCAGTCTGCTCTCTTCAGCTCTTTCCCTCGCTCTCAGCTCTTCCCCTCTCCAAGCCTCACAACCTCCCTTCCACCTGCTCTTGTTTATCTGCCCTTCTGGCAGGGAGATGGCTCAGGCGCCGGCCCTGGCCTGGCCCTCTCTGAGAGGAACCAGGGGTTGGGGAGAATCCACTTCCAGCAACTCCAGGGCTTCGAACTGGAGCAGTCTGAGTCCTTTCTCAGACCTGCCTTTCCTCAGTTTTTAGAGACCTGGATCCCGAACCACCAGCCCTGTCAGATCTGCACATGCCTCAACGGGCGGAAGGTCAACTGCACATCGCAACCCTGCCCTACGGCCAGAGGTGAGGGGGCCCTCCCTGGCCCCAGCCCCACTCTGGTCGGCTAGGTCCGTGGTCAGGCACCTGCTGCTGACTTCCTTGACCAGCCTGCATTTCCCCTCGAGGGTACCGGGCCTGCTTCTGTGCCTGGGGCAGAGTCTCCTATTCGCCCAGCCCTCTTGACCTTGCCGTGGCCCTCAGACTCAGAGTTCCCTGGAGGGTGATTTGAGGCTGTTGATAGACATGCTGGTCAGAGGGCCGAGGGCCTGAGTCACTGTGGGACACACACAGGGGCTGTGCTGGTTTTCAGGCGCAAGAACACTTAGAATCCAGTGTTTGAACCTGTCCAGGCTGTGCCTTTATCCCTGTCTTTTGTGGCTGTTCCTCTCCAGCTCCCACGTGTGGCCCATGTGAAGTGGCCCACCTCCGCCAGAACACAGACCAGTGCTGCCCGGAGTACGAATGTGGTATGTGCTCACCGCGGGGGGTTCTCCAGGTGTAGCCCCTTGCCCCTCAGTCCCAGCCTCAGGTGAATACTGTTGTGGGGTGCTGAAAGGTGGGTGTGGCCATAGGTGGCAGGTGAGTGAGGGAAGGTGGGTAAAGACTAATTGGATTTTCAAAAAAAAAAAAAATGGAAGGAGCTGCCTCTGGAGACGAGGATTTGCTTCCTGGATAAATTCCACAGTAAGTTATTAAATACAAGTTTGAAGACATTAATAAAAGAATGGAATGATCAATGGGAACTACAGAGATTTACTGAAGAAAAATTCATGCCAATGTAACCAATTTTTCCTTTATTTGTGTATTTATTTACTTAAGCTGTAGGGCATGTGTGCTTGCCTGATAAAGACAGAGAGAGAGAGAGAGAGAGAGACCGAGAGACTGAGAGACCGAGAAGTCTCACCTCTGAGGGGATGGCTATGACTCAATCCCTTCTCTTCCATTCTCCTCTCGGGATTTTGGGCATGCATGCACACATGCCCAGCGTGTTTTTCAAGCTGCTGGGTCTGGGACTCAAACTGCATAGTGGGCATGTGCGATCCAGCTGCCTTAATAACCATGCCACTGGCTGACCCCATTTTTCCTTTTCAATAAGGGTTTGAGGATAGTAGATATCAAGAAAGCCACAGCCAAGGCACTTTGATCTCAGCACAGCATTTGTCAGAGATTTGACGGTGGGCTGCCAACTACACGTGACTAGGGAGTGGGTCTTGGTATCACCCAGTGAGTTCAGAGTGGCTGGAATTATGGCCAGCATGAGCCTCTTCTGCTGCCATCTCTGTCCTGTATAATGTTTTAAAGGTATGGATAAAGACAAAAAGCTAGGCTTGCAGAGTTGGCAGGGATGCCGCTCTTCAAGGGAGAGCAGATAGATCCAGGGACAGTCCAAGGATATAAAAGAGAAGTAAGGGGACCAGCAGTTAGCGTAATGGCTATGACACTGGACTCCCACGTAGTTGACCATGGTTTGAGTCCCGGACCTGGTGGCTTAAACTCACGCCGGGGGCATGTGCGTGCATGCCCAAGATCCCTGGAGGAGAAGGGATTGAGGCGTGGCCATCCCCCCTGGGGGGTGATTTCTCGCTTTCTGTCTCTGTCTCTCTCTGTCTGGCGAGTACATGCGCCCTATAGCAAAAACCTAAGAAAGAAAAACAGGAATGAGTATGCTTTCCTGAGGAAGAAGGTGTGAGGACCATCAGGAGCACAGAGAGCGAGGGTCTTCTCTTCCCCCAGTCACCGTCGGGGTGGCCAACAGCTGTGGTTAGTGAGCAGCCACATGGCGACTGGGGATCGCTATAGGACGTGTGGTGCACTCACCAGACAGACAGAGAGACAGAAAGCAAGAAATCACCCACCCAGGGGGGTTGGCCACGCCGCAATCCCTTCTCCTACATTCTCCTCTTGGGATCTTGGGCACACACGCACACGCGCCCACCGTGAGTTTTAAGCCACCGGGTCTGGGACACGAACTGCAGTCGACTACATGGGAGTCCAGCGACATAGCCATTACGTTAACTGCTGGTCCCCTGGCGGCTTGCTTTCTCACTTTTCCTCTTTCTCACTCTCTCGCTCTGTCCCTTTCTGATCAAAATTTAAAAGAAAAAGTAGGTAAATAGAGTTAAATAAAATAATTCTTTAAAAAACAATCAAGAGCATTAGGGGATGGCAGGTGGCATGGTGGTTGAGGTACTAGAGTCCCACCTGGCCGAACATGGTTTGAGTCCCAGTCTTACTGGCTTGCTTTCCCACTTTTTTCCTCTCTCTCTCTCTGGTCAAATTAAAAAATAATGATAATGAATAAAATTAAATAATTCTAGAGGCCGACAGGTGGCATGGTGGTTAAAGGTGCTGGACTCCCATGTGGACTCCCATCTATCCATTGAGTCCTGGACCTGGTGCCTTGCTTTCTCACTTCCTCTCTCTCTCTCTCCCTTTCATTCTTCCTCTCTCTGGTTTAATTAAAATAAATAAACAAAGTAAATAAAATGATAAAATAAATAAATAAATCTGAAAAATAAATAAAATAATGAACTCACTGAGAAATGTATCTGAGGTAATAGAAATTCTGTAGGGGAAGGCAATCTGACTTGAGAATCATTTGAATAAAATTTTAGGTCATCAGGAAAGTCATGATGCATTTTTGCAAAGAAAAACAGAAAAATGCATCATGACCTTTCTGATGACCCAGTAGCTCTTAGAATGTCAATAGTACCAGAACTGGAAGGGCCATGCGGTTCGAGTCCCTCATTTTATAGGGTACATTACTAAGCTCTGCAATGTGCTGGGCATTTTGCCTTCGTTATTTCAAGAGCTCCTCAGCCCAACCTTGTAAGGTAGCATTTCCATCTCACTAAAGAGAAAATTGAGGTCTAGAGGATTCAGATGACTTGGCTGAGATCTGAAGGGTCTTGTAGGTGATAAGAATGACACGCTTATCACATGACTTGGACCATCTATCAGTCACCATTTATCCAACCCATTCTATGATCCATCTACCCATCCATCTGTCCCTGTCCGTCTATCCCATTCTATCATCTGTCCATCATCCATTTATCCATCCATCTATCCATCCACCTATCCATCCATCCATCACTGTCCATCTATCCATTCTATCATCTATCCATCTATCTATCCATCCTTCCATCATCCATCCATCTATCTATCCATCCATCCATCCAACCATCTGTCTGTCTAGTACTCAGCATCTATCACCTCCCCTTTATCTCCATGTCTATCATCAGCATCACTATCTTCCTAAAATGGTGGATGTCTACATGGATAGGAATGCAGCATCCCACTCGCTAACTCTATGTGGCTGCTTCTTTTTCCTGGCCCTCAGTATGTGACCTGGTGACCTGCGACCTGCCCCCAGTGCCTCGCTGTGAAGGTGGGCTCCAGCCAATGCTGACCAATCCCGGCGAATGCAGACCCAACTTCATTTGCGGTAAGCCTCTGAGGATGAGGAGGAGCGGGTGGGAAGCCCACTATCTTCTGGCCTGTGGATGCCATCCTCTTTCTTAGGGACCTGCTCTAAGATCATGCCATTTCCTGTTGTCTGGCTAGCTGAGTCTGGGCTTGGGGTCCATCTGGGACAGAGGTTGTAGCTGAACTGAATTCTCTAACAATTCTTGCAGCTGCATGTTATTGAAGGTAGACCAGGTGTGGGCACAGCTACAAGTGCTTTCTTCTCAGGTTCTATTAAGAAGCAGTTGGGGGGCCAGCAGGTGGTGTGGTGGTTGAGGGCACTGGACTCCCACATGGCTAACTGTGGTTTGAGTCCCGGACTTTGTGGCTTCCTTTCTCACTTTCCCCCTCTCTCTCCCTCTGTCTTTCACTCTCTCCCTCTCTGGTCAAAAAACAACAACAATAACAATAACAAAAAAACAAACAAAAAAAGTGAAGTTAAATAAAAAAAACTTTTTTTTTTCAAAAAAGAAAGCATCAAAGTAAAAGAACTGACTGTGGTTATAAAAAAATTTAAAAATAAAAAAAAAAAAAGAAAAAGAGAAGCAGTTGGGGCTGAGATGAGGAGGACTCCAGATCTGAAGTTCATTCACTCCCATCTTCCAGATGCCATTGAGGGGAGAAATGTTCCCGTGGCTTATCCCCCACGTTGGGTCTCATTCCTAAATGTTTATTGGGCATTTGCTCTCTGTAGGTATACTTGTTTAATCACAAATACTATTTTAAACATAAGATCAAACTAAAGTAAGACACGGAAGGACATGAATTGTGTAGTTAGCCGCTGAGAATACCCACTGTAAGTCAAGTGGAGTTCTCGTCCTGTTGACATGTAGTCTCACTTGAGTTCCTCGTGGTAAGACTTTGAGGGTGAGAGCACACATTGGATTTGAAGGAAGTTGGAAATAGAGGACACAAGGGCAGGATATGACGTTTATGAAATGACTTCATGGATTCGCCAGGATTGCTGGTGATTTTTCATTCCGTGGTGTTGGAAGGCCTAAAGTGACAGGGTACTTTGCTAGGTACTGAGATGAGGAAGAGGCTTACACAAGCCAACGCCTTGTAAAAGTGCCTTCCAGCTTGCGGTGTGCCCAGGCTGCCTGGGTCCTGGAAATTCTATATTTAATGTCTCTGAGAACCAGTAGCTGGAAGGAGCCTACCCCTTCCAGGGGCAATGGGAAGGCGATAGAGTGGGGAATGGGCAGGCGTCACTTTTCCATCAGAATTCTTCACATTTCTCCTTTTCATTAATGTTCTAATTTTTATGCAGGTGAACTGCTTTTCAGTACAATTGAATAGCCTATGAGTTGGGCTTGCACTTTCTTTCTTTTTTTTTTTTTCTTTGATTTCTTTCTTTCTTTTCTATAGGTCATGCGTGCTTGCTGGAGAGACAGAGAGAAACAGAAAGCGAGAAATTACCCCCGAGGGGGGATGGCCACACTGCAATCCCTTCTCCTCCATTCTCCTCTCGGGATTTTGGGCACACACATACATGTGCCCAGTGTCACACTGATTTCTGATTCAATACTCTGGGTCTAGACTTCCCTGGGACCTTCTATCATAGCTAACACTTACCGCTCCTGGCTGAGTGCCATGCTCAGGTGGCAGAACTGAGTCTATCCCTTGTGCTGCCCTCAGACTGCAAGAAAGAGGAGTGCAAAAGGGAGCCTCCACCCTCCTGCCCCCCACACCGGACGCCAGCCCTTCGGAAGACGCAGTGTTGTGATGAGTATGAGTGTGCTTGCAACTGTGTCAACTCCACGGTGAGCTGCCCGCTTGGGTACCTGGCCTCAGCCTCCACCAACGACTGTGGCTGCACCACCATCACCTGCCTTCCTGACAAGGTAGGGGCTGCTCAGCTCTGGCTGGAACAAGGGTCAGATGCCTGCTCCTCAAGGAAGATTTGTACCCACCCGACCTTCCCTTCCTGCACAGTCCATGGTGTGGGGAGCAGGCAGTCAATAGTCCAAATTCCACATGGAAATTTAGGTAACTCAGGAGGTATTGGTAGTGAACCGACTATGTACTCAGCATGGCTCCTACCATAAAGAGCTTGTTTGTAGTTTAGCTGAGAAAATAATACGAATTATTTAGAGATCAGCTACTAGTTTACTTATTTGTTCATTACAGTCAGTTTATCTCTTCATCCATCCATCCATCCATCCATCCATCCATCCATCCATCTATCCATCCATCTAGCTGATACATCCTGAGCAACTGCTATGTTCTAACAGAACTGCTGCTGTGCTTCGGGCTATTGGAGAAGTGGAAGATGCAGTCTTTACTTATGATCTTGTTAGTATATATGAGACAGTAGTACATAAACTGGATAGAATGTGTCAGTGGGACAGAGATGGAGTGCAAATAGCAGTCTTTGAAAGGAGAGGGCCCCAAGATGAGCTATCCTGAAGATTTCATTGGTGGAGCAGAGGTGGGGATGGGTGGAAGGGCAGAGAAGTGCCAAAGAGTGCGTCTTGAAATGAGCCAGAGTTTCAGCGGAATGACCCGAAGTTGCTGGGTCGAGGGTGAGTCCTGAAGCAAAGGACAGGGAAGCCACAGCTACCCTTTCCTGGAGCCTGTTAGGGCTAGAGCGGGCACTCACCTGCCTGGAACGCACTAGGTCTCTGTTTCAGGATCCTCTTCCAGCTCAGGGTTTCTAACACACTGTGTCTGGAAAAGCAGGAGCAAGTCAGGAAATGGCTGTTTCTGCTGCTTTTTAAAATCCTTTGTTCTCTTTCTCCTCTTCCCGCCGTCCTCTGACCCCTACTTTGCTCTCCCTCTTTCCTTTGCTGTGTTTCTTATGTCTTTGTAATCCATAGCAACCCCACTCCCACTCTTCATGCCTTTCATTCATTGGAGAAGCTGGGTCCTTTGTCTTAATGGAATGTCATGCATCTTGGATTTAACCCATAGCTTCCTCGTGGTGTCGCTTCCTGTGTTCGTCCATCCTCTGTACTCCCAGTACATAGGAAGTCAGACCCAGAGCATTACATTTGAGGTCAGCCTTGGGGGAGGGCAAGAAAGCATGGCAGAGGATGCTTCCCATTGCAGCACGCACGAGGCCCTGATGTCTGGCTGTCCTGTGTTTTAGTGTAAACGTGACAACTGGGCTCAGGTGGCAGTAGCCTATTTCTGCGGTGAAGTTTACCCCATCAACATTTCTTTCTTTCTTTTGGCAGTAGCCTATTTCTGCGGTGAAGTTTACCCCATCAACATTTCTTTCTTTCTCTCTCTCTCTCTCTCTCTCTCTCTTTCTTTCTTTCTTTCTTTCTTTCTTTCTTTCTTTCTCTCTCTCTCTCTCTCTCTCTCTCTCTCTCTCTCTCTCTCTCTCTTTCTCTCTTTCTTTCTTTCCTTTCGAGATTATTTGTTATAGGGCACGTGCACTTGCCGGAGAGGCAGAAAGCAAATTACCTCCCAGGGGGGTGGCCACACTGCAATCCCTTCTCCTCCATTCTCCTCGGGATTTTGGGCGTGCATGTACACACACCCAGCATGAGTTTTACGCTGCCAGGTCCTGGACTCAAACCATAGATGACTATGTGGGAATCCAGAGACGTAACCAGTACGCCATCTGCTGGTTACCCCCATCAGCGTTTTAATGTTCATTGGTGTTTGTTGCCTAAGACTGTGTGTTCTTAGGACTTGTAAAACATGACTTTTCTATCACCCCATGTATTTATTAACTCCAGTTCTCCTACAAGAAGGAACTTTTCCCCAGTCACTTCTGGTTACACTGAAATAGAATTATCTTAGGAAAAGCAGGATAAATGTTTGGTGTTTTCTTTTATTACTTTTCTGAGTAAGGAGTTGGTGTTCTAGAAACTACTATAGATGACCAAAGAATTCACTTGGTTATTATTATTATTATTATTGGTTTTGTTTGTTTTTAGCACCCTCATGAACTCATAATCAAAATAATGGATTTCGAAGTCATTTGAAATGATAATTTTCCACATGTGATTATGCTGCAGATTCAATACTAGCTATTTCGATTTGTTTTTCTTTTCTTTTCTCAATGGCTAGAAGGCATGTACATTGTCAGGGTGCCATGGAAAGAAAGAAAATGAGTGGTGAGAGGGAGGAAGCAACCCACAGCGGGGCACGGTCATGCTGCAACCCCTTGTTCTCCATCCCTCCATCCCATGGGGTTTGGGGTACATGTGCACTCGTGCTTGGTGTGTTTCTCAAGCTGCCAGAGCCAGGATTTGAACCTCGGTCAGCTATGTGGGATCAGCTCCCTTAGCCACTAGGCTATGATGCTAGTTCTGTTTTTCATTTTTAGGATTTTCTGTTTATTTCTTTTGTGGTATAATATTTTTATAATGTAAAACACTTAAGTTATTTTAAAATCCTAATTGTAAAACAAGATATCTTCCCAGAAGTCTTGGTTGTATCTCCGTTTTGCCTACTGTCTTTCTTCCTTCCTCCCTATAATTTGCAATTAGCATGAGTTTTTTTTTATTTTTGAAAACATGATTTTACATATTTGTGTATCTTCTGAGTTTTCACGGAAAGTTCTATTTAAATATTTTTTTAAATGACCAGTATTTGATTATTATTCTACATTGGTTTATAGAGATTGGCTTTAATTGTTTTTATAACATCATATACATCATATTCCAGTGCATGGATGCCCCCAGATTATTCAGATCTCCTGTTGTTGCGTGTTTACGTTACTTTGGGCTTTTGCTATTGCTAATACCATGGTAACAGATAGCCTGGGGTCATCTCCCCGCAGTTAACTGGGGGTGATTTTCCAGGGCTGGTGGGTGGGCAGGGCAGAGGGCCAGATCTGCTCAGAGGCATCCCCCCACGGCCGAGAGCACGCTGGCTTGTGAGCTGCTGCATTCTCAGTACCTGGAGCGACCACCGCACACGTGCCCACTCACCACTCACTCACCAGAACGAATGGGCTCACACACAGAAACCTTGTGTCCACAGGTGTGTGTGCACCGAGGCACCGTCTACCCCGTGGGCCAGTTCTGGGAGGAAGGTTGCGACGTGTGCACCTGCACCGACATGGAGGATGCCGTGGTGGGCCTGCGTGTGGCCCAGTGCTCTCAGAAGCCCTGTGAAGACAGCTGTCGGCCGGTGAGTGGGGTGGACAGGCTGAGGGCTGTGTGGAGCCATTACGGTAGTGATGTAGGATCTCTGGAAGGGGCAAGGAGGGCCAGAGGCAAGGAGGAAAGAGGAGGAGAGGTCTGGGTAGAAAGAACGAAATATGAGAAAAGGGTTGCTGGGTCATCCTTTTGTGATTCGTAATTCAGTCCTGGCTAAGGATCATGAGCGCTCTATTGGACTCCAGTCCAGAGAAGTGTAGAGAAGAGTAAGTATCTAGAAGAGAGGACTTGACACCAGAGTGTGTTTATGGTTGGAGGTACAGAAAACATGGTCACTGCTCCAGACTTTAGTTTATGGTTACCTGTCCCCAAGGCCCCCCAAGGTTCTGGGCACCCGATTCTCATACATTAAAGACCAATCAGACCCTAGAAAAAGGGAACCAGAGTCTGCGGGAGGAATTGTAGACCAATGCTTGCTGGTTAAGTGCTTTTACTATCACTACCCTCGTCCTGTGAAGGATCTTCGAAGAGCTGCCAGGATGGGCAAGTACATATCTTTTGTGTCTGCCTCTTTTCACTGTTAACAGCAGGGAGGACGATGCGCTGGTGCTGTCTTGGTGGTTTGTGGTTTGGTGGTGGAAGGGCAGGCCTGAGAGTGAATCCGGCAGTCAGAGAGCCCCTTAGTTCATTCGCTGTTCTGTCTGCCTCCTTCGACTGAGGATGAGCAGAATTGCCAGGGACCTTTGGGAGAGGATGCTGCCGTGGTATCTGGGTACACCTTTTGGGAACACTAAGTTTTGGAAACCCCTTGTCTCCACTTCCTCTCATGGAGGCAGAGGCAGTAACTTCCTATGAAATAAAGATTGCTGTGTAGAGGTCATTGATATAATATTGGTACCAATATATTTTGTGTTTAAGTAGGAAGTTTTTTTTTTGGGGGGGAGAGGTTTTTGCTATAGGGCACATGTGCTCGCCAGACAGACGAGA